CGTGACTGGAACAAGGGATGATTGGGAAGGTGCATCGAGATCCACATGTTCCAAGAACCATTATATGCCAAGAACTTTCAGGATGAGAGTGGGACATCGATCTGGCTTGTGTGTATGGTAAAGAATTAACATCCCCTAGCAACAAGGGCATTGCTAGAATGACTAGGAAAGATTGTCACTATTTATGCATAAGTCCTAAGCTAAGTGGGTCGAAAGACATAGCTTGTTTAAGTTGGTGCAAACGAGGGACCATGAAGGGTCAAGATCAAGGTTCTAAAGGCATATATAAGGCTCAAGTGTGTAGACCAGGGCCTAAGCTAAGGTGCGAGAGCATGACGAGGTGAGCAGCCTAGTGCCAAGAATAGAGGCTGTCATTGAAAGGATCTAGAATGCCCTAGAAGAGTGGCACAAGTAGATAGGCACAAAAGGCTCTAGATTATCTTGGAGATAGGCCAGGTGCACAAGTGAAAAAGTGTCTAAAGAAACCAAGAGGCCAGCAAGGTGTATAGGCACTGAAAGTTCTAAAAAGGCTTGGCATGGGAATATTAGTAGTTATTGTAGTGCCCAAAAGAGGAAAGCTTTGAAAGGTCATAGTTACAAATAGAGTAGTGAGTAGGTGAGAAAAATTTTGGAAGTAGCTAGGCATAACACCTAGTATGAGTGCTTGAACTCTTCTAGACTTGAGGCTTAACAAGAAGCCCGAAAAAAGCTAGATTCTGCAAAGGCCTTAGCAGACCTATGAAGTGTCTAGGGACCATGAAAGGGTCTAGAAGGCCTATAAGGGCCACACACTTAGATCAATAAGGGCCATATGTACTAGGGAGGCTTAAATATAAATAGGGGCCCTCTCTCTCATTTGTAAACAACAAGAAAAAAGTAAGTGGAACTAAGTCATAGACTTAGCCATACTTAGAGACTTGGGGATAGACATAGGAGTCATTGTAAGGGCATTGAGCAATTGTATATACCATCAAGTAAATAAAAGTTACAATTACATTAACTCTCATTCCTATCTTTCTCCTAAGCTTATAGGGAACCAATGGAGTGTATGGTACAAGTGTTTAAGACAAAGTTAGTTAAAGGTTGACTTAGGCATACAGAAGGTAGTTTCTCACCTAAGATGGCACGGGTGCTAGGCTTAAGCCCTTGGCCCATGACACATGCTTATGCCTTAACCACTATCAAAACTTGTTGGCCCTTTTGTCTTGGCACATGCTTCAACCACCATCGACACATGTTGGCCCTTGGTGTGGATAGTTCCCTCAAACACCATCAGCACATGCTAGGCTACACACCACATGTGGGTATCCTGGGCTTGGGCCATGCACCATGCATACGATAACTATATAGTAGGTGGGTTAAGGCACATCTTAATATTTTTACTATGCCAATGCCATTTTTATGGCTTGTAAATTCATATAATGGTCCTTTAAGCCTTCATGTGAAGTTTCATGGCAAGATACTCATTTTGTATTTTTCATGATTTTTGGAATTTTTCATGGTTTGGGATTTTTTTGAATTTTTTAGAAGAAGTTTTGGCCCAAATTTGGTATATGTGATCCCTATATTTTTTTTGGCACCAACAAAAAAATTTAGCTAAAAAATTGAAATGTAGAAGATTTTGTGGCCAATTGAAAAAAGCATCCCTATTTCAGACACTTGAATGGCTATTAGCTATGAACATGCAAAAGCTCCTATGCTCTTTAGTGGGGTGTGAGTTGTCGACATTCCTTGGGGCATAGAGGGCCAATATAAGGGCCATGGATCGGTACCTATCACACATCATGCGCACACACCCTTTGGCCCTTCACTCCAAATCACTAAAACCCCCAATGTCACTGGTCAGGTTTTCTAGTGATGCTTCGATCATGGAGCCTTAAGTGCAAAAATGTGGCACCAATACATGCTTGAGCCTAGCATGTGCATCATGGCCTAAAATTAAACTTTGGCCAAGGTTTCAACCATCAATAGCACATGCTGGCATACAATGCAACCACATGCCTCGACCATTATCAACATAAGCTGGCTTTTGGTATGGGCACTTGCATCAACCAACATTGGTACATGTTAGCCCTTGGTTTGGGCATATGCCTCATTAGCATTAACATAATTTAGGCCTTGTACAAGCATAAACGTTGATCAGCATTAGCAAAAGATAATCCTTGGTATAGGCAATTACCTTAAACACCATCATCATATGTTGGCTTTTACCGTGAGCACTTACCTTGAACACAATTGACACATGCTGGGCCTTAATGTAGGCATATGCCTCGACCACCATCAACACCAGGATCATGAAAGCTTATGTGATGTGAGTGCTGCACACCTCAGAGGGCCCATTAAGCATGAGAAGAGGGTAATGGCACATCACCAACTATGGTACTACTTACTTTAACAAGCATTAGTTTCGTGGGAACCACATGGGGTCATAATTAGAAGAAAATATGACTGAGAAGGTGTACTGAGAACCATCATGTACCAAAAACCATCATGTATGAAGGATCGTTAGGATGAGAGTGGGACATTGATTAAGCATTTGCATGCAAAGAAAGAATGACATCCCCTACAATAAAGGTATTGCTAGAAGAAGCAAGAGAGAATGTCACAGTCCATGCACAAGTCTTAAGCTAAAAGGATTAAGAGATATAGCTTATTTGAGTTAGTATGGGTGAAAGATCGGGAAAGATGAAGACCAAGGTGCTAAAGACACATACGAGACCCAATGTGCAAACCAGGGCTAAGGTTAAGGTACGAGAGCATGGTGAGGTGAGCTATCTAGTGCCAAGAATGAAATGTGCTCATAAAAAAGATTTAAAATACCCTAAAAGAGTGGCACAAGTAAATAGGCATAGAAGGCTCTAGATTAACCTAGAGATAGGATAGGTGCTTAGGTGTAGAAGAGTTTTAAAGAAGCTTAGAGGCTGGTCAGGTGCATGGGCACTGAAAGTTCTAGAAGGGCCTGGTGTAAGAGCAGTAATGGGTACTATAGCACCCAGACAAGGAAGGCTTTGAAGGCCCTAGCTACAGGTAAAGTAGTAACTAAACGAGGAAGGTTCTAGAACCCACTAGGCATGGGCACTCAATAGGAGTGCCCAAACATTTTCAGACTTGAGGCTGAGAGGGGAGCCTAGAACAAGCTGAATTCTAGAAAGGCTTTCATCAACCTAAGAATTATTTAGAGACCATGAAAGTGTTTAAAATGCCTATATTGGCCACACGCTTAGACCATTAAAGGCCATATACAGTAGAATGGCTCAAATATAAGTAGCGACCTTCCCTCTCATTTGTAAAATGTAAGAAAAAATAAGAGAAAAGTAAGAGGAACCAAGTTATAGACTTTACCATACTTAAAGACTTAGGGATAGACATAGGAGTCATTGTAAGGTCATTGAGCAATTGTACATAGCATCATGTAAATAGAAATATAGTTATTTTAACTCTCCTTCCTAAATTTCTCTCAAGTTACTAAAGAGCCAATGGAATGCATGACACAAGTGTCAACATAAAGTTGAAAAAAAAGTTGACTTGGGCACATGAATGGTAGTTTCCAAACTAAGGCCACACAGGTGTTAGGCTTAAACCCTTGGTCTTGTGACATACAATATCAAGTTTTTCATGTGAAAATGGACTCATGAAAAGCTAATCTTGACTATAAGTACTCTTAATGGCACACAGATAGGAGGTTTCGATCTAAGGAATGTGCGAGCAATGAGAACCAGCTTACAAATCATGACAGATGCACATCACCATTAGGACATGTTGGCCCTTAGTCTTACACATACTTTGACCACCATCGATACATGCTTACTTTTTGTGTATGCAGTTTTTTAAAAAACCATCAGCACATACTGGGTTAGGTGCTACACATGAGTATTATGGGCGTAAATCGTGCACCATGCATACCATGATAAGGGTACGAGTAGGGATAGGTATGAGGTGTGAGGTATAAGGGGTAAGGGGTAGGGGTTAGGGTAGGGGTACTAGTAGGGGCAAGATAAGGGGTAAACTGTAAGCGGTAAGGGTTATGTAATGGGTAAGGTTAAGGTGTAAGGGTAAGAGTAGGGTAGGGGTCTAGGAAAGAGATGGGGTAAAGGTAGTGGTTAGGTATAAGAAAGGGTAGGGGTAAAGGTAGTTTTATATGTAAGGGTAAGGGGTAAGGGGGTAGGTGTAACGGTAGAGGTAAAGGTAAAGGTAAGGGTAGGGATAGGTAAGGGGTAAGGGTAAAGGTAAGGGGTAAGGGTAAAGGTAGAGGTAAGGTTAGAGGTATGATATAGGGTAATGTGTATGGGGTAAGGGGTAAGGGGTAAAGAGTAGAGGTAAGGTGTAAGGATGAGGGGTAGAGGTCGGGGTCAGGGTAGGTTTAGGCGTACAATATGGGGTAAGGTGTATGGGTTAAGGGATAAGGGTAAGGTGTAGGCATATGGGGTAGGCGTAAGGTAAGGGTAAATTTGGGTTAAGACGTAAGTATGGGGTAAGGGTAAGGGTAGAGGTAAGGCTAGGGGTAGGGGTAGGGGTAGAGGTAGGGGTATAGGGGTAAATATAGGGGTGAAGGTTAGGGTAAAGGTTATGGTTGGTGTAGGTATAGGGTAAAGTATGTTGTAGGGGTAGGGGTAAGGGTATGGGTATAAGAGTAAATGTAGGGGTGAGGGTTAGGGTAGAGGTTATGGTTGGTATAGGTATAGGATAAGGTATGTTGTAGGGGTAGGGGTAAGGGTGAGAATAAGGGTTTGGCTACTGGTGAGGGTAGGCATGGGGTAAGGATGGGGGTCAGGTGGGGTAAGGTTGGGAGTAGGGTAAAGGGTAAGGTGTAAGAGGTAAGATTAGGGTGTAGAGGTAAAGAGGTATAGGTTGGGTAGGTATTAGGTAAGGGTGAGCGTAAAGGTAGGGTAAGGATATGGGAAATGGTAAGGGTGAGGGTAGAGGTGTAGTAAAGTGGGTGTAAGGGTGAGGGTAGGGATGGGGTAAGGTATAGGGTAGGGGTTGGGGTAGGGGTGGGGGTAATGCTAAGTGCAAGGGTAGAGGTAGGGGTATGGGTGGGGGTATGTATAGGGTAGGGGTGGGGTAAAGTTAGGGTTAAGGTAGTGGTAGAGGTAAGGTTTGGTGTAGGGTAGGGGTAAGTATTGTGATAGGGTGCAGGTCAGGGGTAGAGGTAGGGGTAGGGGTCAGATAGGGTTAAGGAAAGGTCTCGATAGGGGTAAAGGTCAAGTAAGGTTAAGGGAAGGTCTCGGTAGGGGTGAGGGTAGAGGTCAAGGTAGGTATGGGGTAAGGTATGGGTTAAAGGTAGGGGTAGGGAGGGGGTTAGGGTAAGGATAGGGGTAAAGGTGGGGGTAGGGCTAGATGTAGGGGTAAGGGTAGGTATGGGGTAAGGGTAAGGTAAGGTTAGGGTAAGGGTGAGGACGAGGGTGAGGGTAAGGGTAGGGGTGGGGGTAGGTATGGCTTGGGGGTCGAGGTGGGGGTAGGAGTAGGGGTAAGGGTAGGGGTAGGGTTGGAGGTAGGGGTAAGGGTCGGGGTAGGTATTTGGTAAGGTATAGGGTAGGGGTAGGGGTAGGGGTAGGGTAGGGTAGGGGTGAGGGTAAGGGTAAGGATAGGGGTGACGGTAAGGGTGGGGGTAGGTATGTTGTAGTGTTAGGTTAGGGGTATGGGTAAAAGAAGGGGTGGTGTAAGGGTATGGGTAGGGATAGGTATGAGGTAAGGGTAGCGGTAAAGATAGGGGTAAGGGTAGGTGAAGGGTAGTGGTAAGGGTATGGGTGGCGTAAGGTGGGTGTTGGGTTAGAGGTTGACATAGGGGTAGGGGTAGGGGTAGGGGTAGGGGTAGGGTAGGGTAGGGCTAAGGGTAAGGGTCGATATTCGTAAGGGTGGGTGTAGGGGTAGGGGTAGGGGTAAGGGTAGGGCTATGGCTAGAGGTGTGGCATGGTGTTGGTAGGGTTGGGGTAGGGTTAATGGTGAGGCTAGGGGGTGGGGTAGGTGGGTGTAGGGTTAGAGGTTGGGGTATGGCTAGGGGTGGGGGTGGGTAGGGCTAAGGGTAGGGGTCAGTATTCATAGAGATAGGGTAGGGCTAGGGGTGCATTAAGGTGTTGGTAGGGTTGGAGTAGGGTTATGGGTGGGGGTAGGGGTTAGGGTAGAGTTAGGGGTTAGGGGTAGGGGTAGGGATGGTGTAATGGTAGGGCTAAGGGTATGTATGAGGTAGGGGTAGGGGTTATGGTAGGGTTCAAGATAGATATATGATAAGGTATGGGTTCAGGGTAGGGGTAAGGGTAGGGGTAGGGGTTAGGGTAAGTATGGGGTTAGGTATGAGTTAGGGGCAAGGGTAGGGGTATGGGTGGGTTTAGGTATGTGGTAGGGGTGTGGTAGGGTTAGGATAGGGGTGAGGGTCAGGGTAGGTATAGGGAAGGGTGGGGGTAGGGATAGGGGTAGGGGTAATGGTTAGGGTAAGCGTGGGGTAGGGGAGAGGTAAGCTGGGGGCAGGGGAGGGGGAAGTGTTAGGGTAAGGGTATGGATTAAGGTTGGTATGGTGTAAGGTATGGGGTAGGGGTAGGGGTAGTTATAGGTGCAAGGGTAGGGGAAGGGGTGGGGGTCGGTATGAGGTTGGGGTAGAGTACTGTTTGGGTATGGGTAAGGGTAGGGGTGGGATGAGAGGTAGGTATAGGGTAAGGGTAGGGGTAGTGGTAAGGATATGTGTAAGGGTGTGGGTAGGTGGGGGTAGGTGTACAGGAGTAGGGGTGAGGGTCAGTGTCGTGTTAGGGGTGAGGGTAGGAGCAGGGGTTGTGGTTGGGGTAAGTATAGGGTAAGGTATGTGGTAGGGGTAGGGGTAAGGGTAGGGTTAGGGTTAGGGTTAGGGATTTGGGTGGAATAGGTATAGGGTAGTGGTTAGGTAAGGTTAAGTTAAGGTGACTATAAGGATGGGGATGGGGATAGGGTGAGGGTAGGGTAAAGGTTAAGGTGTAAGGGGTAAGGGTAGAGTGTAGGGGTAAAAGGGTGGGGTTTGGGTAGGGGTAGGGTCAAGGGTAGGAGTGGGGGTTCATATGGGGTAGGGTTAGGGCAGGGGTATGGGTAGGGTTTGTGGTAGGGGTGGGAATAGGTTTTGGGTAGGGGAAGGGGTTCGTATGGCGTAGGGTAAGGGTAGGGTTATGGTAGGGATATAGGATGGGTTGTGGTAGGGGTGGGAATAGGTATTGGGTAGGGGTGGGGGTAAAGGAATGAGTAAGGGTAGTGGTAGGGTTAAGGGTGGGGTAAGGGTGCGATAATACAGGGGTAAGGGTAGAGGTAGGGTTAGGGGTAGGGTTAAGGGTGGGGCAAGGTATGGGGTAGGAGGTAGGGGGTAAAAGGGTAGGGTTCGGGGTAGGGGTGGGGGTAGGTATGGTGTAGTGGTGGGGTAGGGTATGGGTTAGGGTAGGGGTTGTGCTGGGGTCGGGGTAGGGGTAAAGGAAAGGGTAGTTATGGGATAGGGGTGGGTTTAAGGATAGTTGTTGTGGTTGGGTAGGGGTGGGGTAAGGTGGGGTAGGGGTTGGGGTAAGATTAAGGGTGGAGTCGAGGTAGGGATAGGTATGGGGTAGGGTTATGGATTAAGGTGGGGTAGTTGTAAGGGTAAGGGTAGGGGTTTGTATAGGGTAGGAGTGGGAATGGGGGTAGAAGTAGGTGTAAGGTTGGCGTAGGGGTAGGGTATTGTAAAGGGGTAAGGGTAGGGGTGGGGGTTGGTTTAGTGGTAGGGGTGGGGGTAGGTATGGGTTAGGGGAGGGAGAGGGTTAAGGTAGGGTTGGGGGTTAGGGTTAGGGTGGCTTAGGGGTAGGGGTGGGGGTAGGTATGTGGTGTGGGCTAGGGTGAGGGTGGGGGTAGTGGTAGGGGTGGGGTGAGGTGGGGGTGGGGTTAGTAGTAAGGGTTAAGGGAGGTGCAGGGTAAGGTATGGGGTAGGGGTAGGGGCGAGCAAAGGCGTTGGGGTAGTGGTGGGGGTAGGTATGGGATAGGGTTAGTGTAAGGGTCGAGGTAGGGGAGGAAGTGGGGTAAGGGTATGGGTAGGGATAGGTATGGGGTAAGGGCTTGGGTAGGGGTACGGGTTAGGGTTAGGGTGGGGTAAGGTGGGGGTAGGGGTAGGGTTAGGGGTGAGGGTAGGGGTAGTGGTGGGGGTAGGTATTGGGTAAGGTTGGGGTTAAGGGTAAGGCTAAGGGTAGGGGTATGGGTAAGAGTAGGGTTAGGGGTGCGTTAAGGTAGGGGTATGGGTGGTGGCAGGGGTTGGGGTAGGGATGGGGTAAGGTATGGGGTAGGGTTAGGGTGGGGGTAGGTTTGGGGTAGGGGTCAGGGTGAAGGTGAGGTAAGGGTGGGGTATGGGGTAGGGGTTGGGGTAGATAAGGGGTATCGGTGGAGTAGGGCTAGGGTAAGGGTGGTGGTAAGGGTAGGTATAGGGTAGGGGTTAGGGAAGGGGTATGGTAGGGGTCGGGTTAAGGGTCAGGTAGGGGTTGGGTAAGGTGGGGATAGGGGTAGGGTTAGTAGTCGGTATGGGGTAGGGTAGGGGTGAGGCCCCCTACCCCACCCCACCCTTACTCCCACCCCTACCATATACCTATGCTTACCCCTACGCCTACCCCTACCCCTATCTCATAAGTCACCCTTTCTCACCCCTACCCCTTCCCCTACCCCTACTCCTACCCCTAAGCTACCCCTTACCCCTACCCCTACCTTACCGCATACCTACCTCGACCCCAACACCTACTCCTACCCCGCCCTTACCCCTTCCCACCCTCACACCTCTGCCCTTAAACTAACCCCCACCCCTACCCCTACCCCACACCTACCTCCACCTCTGCCCTTAAACTAACCCCCACCCCTACCCCTACCTATTCACAATACCCTACCCCAACTTCTACCCCCACTCCCACTCCTACCCTATACCAACCCTTACCCCTACCCCCACCTTACCCCACCCTTAACCCTACCTTCCCCTACCCTAACCCTAACCTTACCCCACCGTTACCCCATACCTACCCCCACCCCTACCCCTACAGTGGATGAAGTTTGAACTAGTTGAATGACTAACTTTCAAACCAAAGAAAATGAAATGAAAAGATGTTTTTTTATCAATAAATGAATGCAACAATATCTTGTATCATAATGGGAACTATCGATTTTGTTTGGTACTTTCCAAAAATTCTTATACTTTTACAATGGTGGAAGTTTGAATGAGTTGATGGACTAGCTTTGATATCGAGCAAAATGAAATGGAGAAATGCTATTTTGGTAAACGAAAATGAAAATATCTTTTATCCCTATAGAGACTATCTATTTTGCTCAGTTCTTCATGTAAAGAATAGATTTTTCAATAAAGGGGCCAAGTGTAGTGGTAGAGGTAGGGATAGGTATAAGGTAATAAGTAAAGGTAAGGGGCATGGGTAGGGGAAGAGGTAGGGGCAGGGATGGGGGTACGGTATGGGATAAGGTGTTAAGGGTAAAGGTAATGGTAGGGTGTAGGGATAAAGGGTTGGGGTGGGGGTATGCGTAGGCATGGGGTAGGGGGTAGGGGGTAGGTTTGGGGCAAGGGGTTTGTATGGAGCAAGGGTAAGGGTAAGGGTAGGGGTAGGATAGGGTACGGTAGGGGTAAGGGTGGGGGTAGGGATAGGGTACGATAAGGTATGGGTAGGGGTAGGGTTGGGATAGGTATGGGGTAGGGGTGGTGGTAGGGTAGGGGTAGAGGTAGGGGCTGGGTTAGGGGTACGAGTGGTGTAAGGTGGTGGTAAAGGGTAGGGTTAAGGGTTGGGGTATGTGGGGGGGAAGGGTTTGGATCGGGGTTGGGATGGCGTCGAGGTAAGGGTGGAGGTAGATATGGGGTAAAGGTCGAGGTAAGGTTAGGTGTAGGGGTAGTGGTGGGGTAAAGTGGGGGTAAGGGTAAGGGTAAGGGTCAAGTTAGGTATGGGGTAAGGTATGAGGTAGGGGTAGGGGTGGGTGTGGGGTAGGTATTGGGTAACTGTAGGGTAGGTTTAAGGTACGGGTAGCGATGGGGTAAGGGAAGAGGTGTGGTTAGATATGAGGTAAGGGTGGGGGTGGTGGTAAGGGTAAGCATAGTGGTAGGGTAGGGGTAAGGTAGGGGTGGTGGTAAGGGTAAGCATAGTGGTAGGGGCAAGGTAAGGATGGTGGTATGGAAATAGGTAAATATGGGGTAAAAGGTAAGAGGCGGGTCTGGGGTAGGGGTAAGTGTAGGAGCAAGGGTGGAGTATCTATGAGGTAAAGGGTATGGGGTAAGGGCAATGGATAGGGTAAGGGTAGGGTTGGGGTAAGGGTAAGGGGTAAGAAAGGGACAAGGATATTGTGTAGGGGTAAAAGGGTGGGGGTAGGGTTAAGGGGTTGGGGCAAGAGTGGGCATGGGTTAAGGGATAGGTATGTATTAGGGGTAAGGGTAGGGGTAAGTTAGGGTGTAAGGGTAAAAGGGTAAGGATAAGGTAGGGTGGGGGTGGGGGTGGGGGGTAGGGTAAGTATGAGGTAACGAGAAAGTTTAACGGGTAGGCGTAGGGTTGCAGTAGGTGGGGGTAGGGCCTAACCCTTACCTCATACCTACTCTTTACCCTACCACCATCCCTACCCCTACCACTATCCTTACCTTAGATTCTTAACCTTACCCCAACCCTTACTCCTACCTCTACCTCCACCCCTACCCTTACCCCTAACCCACCACTATCCCTACCATTACACCATACCTTACCCAGTACCTACATCTATCCCGACCCCTACCCTACCACCACCCATAACCTTTCCCCCACCCATACCCCTAGCTTACCTCACCCTTACCCCAGACCTACCCCTACCATTGTCCCTACCCCAACCCTAACCCATCCCCATACAAACCACCACCCCACCCCTACCCCTACCCCTACCCCTACCCATACCTTACCCCATAGCTACCACGACACCTAAACCTACTCATAACCCCACCCCTACCAGCACCTTACACCACCCCAACCAGACCCTTACCCTTACCCCTACCCTTACCCGAACCCCTGCCCCATATTTACCTTTACCCTCACCTCTACCATAACCCTACCCCATCGCTACCCCATATCTACCATAACCCCTACCTCTACCCTATACCCCACCCCTACCCCTACCTTTACCCCTACCATATCCCCTAGCCCTACCTATACCCCACACCTACCCTCAACCTTACCCCTACCCCACCCAAACCCCTACCCCCACACCTACCCTAACACTACCTTACTACTACCCCTTACCTACCCACCCCTATGCCTACCCCTACCCCCTAACCTACCCTATACCTTACCCCATCCCTACCCCAACCCCTACCTCGACCTTACCCCCACCCTTACCAAAACCTTACCGCACCGTTATCCATACCCCCACCCCCACCCATACCCCTACTCTTACCCCAACCCTTACCCTTACCCCTACCTCTACCTATCCCTACCCCTACCCCTACCCCTACCCCCACCCTAACCCTACCCCCACCTTACCCAACCTATACCCCTACCTATACCCCCATACCTACCCTTGCCCCTATCCCATACCTATCCCTATTAATACCCTATACCACCCCCTTCCCTACCTTTACTCCTACCCTAACCCTACCCTATACCTACCCTCATCCCTACCCTTACCAATACCCCATATCTAGTCTAACCTAGACCCCTACCCCATACCCTACCACATACCTACCCAACAACTAACCCTACCCTTGCCCCCATCTTACCTAACCCCTATACGACCTTTACCCTTACCGTTATCCCTACCATTACCCCTACCCCACCCAAACCCTTACCCCATACCTACCCCTACCCCCAACCCTGCCCTAACCTAACCCCAAAGCTAACCCTTACCTATACCAACCCCTGCCCCAACCCTTACCTCTATGCCTACCCCATACCCTACCCCCACTCCTATCCCGTACTTACCCCATACTCCACCCCTATCTCTGTCCCCACTCCTACCCCAAACCTACCCCCACACCTACCCCTACCCTTACCATGACCCTCACCACATACCTTGCCCCATCCTCACCCTAACCCTTACATCGACCCCCCCATACCTCCACCTTACCACACCCTTATCCCCACCCTTACCCCTACCCCAACCATTATCACCACCCTTACCCAAAAACTACCCCCACCACTACCTCTACCCCTACCCCACCCACCTCTACCCATGCACCAACCCCTAACCTACCCCCACCTTACCCTACCCATACCCACACCCCTACCTGATACCTACCCGCATCGTTACACCTAGACCTACCCTCACCACTACCCCAACCCCTACCCTATACCTTATCCCAAATCTACCTTAACCCACACCCTCACCCCTAACCCTACCCCCACCACCACCCCAACCTTACCCTACGCCTACCTCTAGACTATCCCTCACCCGTACCACATACCTACCCTTGCCCCTACCCCTAACCCACACCCACCCTTACCCCACTCGTACCACTACCCTGCCAAAACCCCCACCCTAACCCATACCCTATACCTATCCCAACCCTTTCCTTTACAATAACCCCACCCCTACCACTACCCCAACCATTGCCCATACAACAACCCTACCCCTACTACTACCCTAACCCAATACCCCACCCCTACCCCAACCATACCCTTTCCCTCACCCATACCTCCAGCTTACCTCACCCTTACCCCAACCAAACACCCTACCTATACCATTTCCTCTACCCATACCCCAAGCTTACCTCACCCTTACCCCATGCTTAACCTTATAACTACCCCAACCCCTACACACATCCATCAACATACCCATCCTTACCAATACCCTACCCCTATAATATATCAAACCCACCCTTACCCCGCCAACTAACCTTACCCCAACCCCCACCTTACCCTACCCTTATACAACCGTTACCCCTACCGTTACCCCTACCACACCCCAACCCTTACCCTATACCTACCACTACCCCTAACCCTACCCTAACCCAACCCCACAGCTACCCTACTCCTACCCCAACCCCTGCCTCTACCCCAACTCTTACCTGACCCCTACTCCTACCCCATACCTAACCCCACACTTACCCCTACTCGACCCCTACCCCATATACCCCCACTTCTACCCTGAACTCGACCCCATCATTACCACCACTCTTACCTAAAACCTACCCCCATCCTTACCCCTACACTAACCCTTAACCTTACCCCCACCTTACCCAACCTATACCCATACCCCTACCCATGCCTCTACCCCTACCCCTACCCCTACCCCAACCACATGCCACACCTATCCCTACCCATACCCTTGCCCCACCCCCTCTTTTACCCCTACCCATACCCTAACCCTACCTTTTACCTACTCGCGCCATCACACCTACCCCTACCCTTACCATTACCCCTACTCCTACCCATACCTTACCCCATATCTACCTCAACCTATACCCCTACCACTACCCCCCACCCTAAACCTACCCTAACCTTACCCCACCCCTACCTCTATCCCAACCCCCACCCGCACCACATACCTACCCCCACCCATACCCTAACCCACCCTCACCCTAACCTACACCCCTACCCTAACCCTTCCCTAACCCTATCCCATACCTACCCTAACACTTACCCCTACACCAACCCCAACCCAATACCCCCAATACTACCCCACCCCTACCCCCACCCCTAACACTACCCCCACTTTGACACCACAACTACCATTACCTCAACCCCTACCTCAACCCCTAACCTTACCCCATACCTACCTTGACCCCTACCCTTACTCCTACCCAAAACTTTAACCCCATCGTAATCTCGCCCCCACCCTACCCCACCCCTACTTGATCCTTACCCAATCTCTACCCTTACTTTATACCTATCCCCACCCCTACCTCTACCCTTACCCCTACTCCATACCATACCTCATCCCTACTTAGACCTCTACCCCTACACTTAAACTTGCCCTTCACCCTGCCCTCACCCTATAACCACCTTGCTGCACCTCTAACCCTATTTTTACACCTACCCCTACCGCTACACATGCCTTTACCCTCACCCCCGACCCCACCCTACCCCTACCCTACCCTACCCTACCCATATCCCTTCCCCGACCCCACCCTACCCCTACCCTACCCTACCCATATCCCTTCCCCTACCCCATTCTACCCCTACTTTAACCCCACCTCATATGTACACCCACCCCTACCCTTACCCTACCCCCACCCCTACGCTTACCCCTACCCCTAGTTTTACCCTTAACCCTCCCTCCACCTTACCCTACCACTACCTGATCCCTTACCCCTACCCCTTCCCCAACCCTTAACCCTAGCCCCACTCTTACCCCATACCTATCCCCAGCCCTAACCCTACATTACAAGCTCTAACCCCATACCTACCCTAAGCCATACCCCAACCCCATCCCTACCCAAACCCTATCGCATCGTTACCCTATACAAACCCCTACCCCTACCTCTATCCATATCCCCACCAATACCTTTACCCGTACCCCAACCCCCTACCCTCACCCCTAACCCTAACCCTAACCTAACCCCACCTCTACCAACATCTTACCGTAGCCCTACCCCCAACCTTACCCCTACCCCTACCCTTACCTTTACCCCCACCTCTATCAACACCTACCCTACCCTACCCAACCCTTACCTTCACCCCTAGCCCTACCCCCATCTTACCCAACCATTACCCTCACCCTAACCCCTACACTAAATCCCACCTCTACCACTACCCATACCCCACCCTTACCCCTACCCCTATCCCACCCCCACTCCTACCCCATACCTACTCTTACCCTTACCCCTACCCCTACCATACTGCTACCTCAACCCATACCCCCACCACATACCTACTCCCACCCCTACCCCTAACCCACCCCCATATTTACCTCCACCCCTACCCTAACCCTTCCCCACCCTACCTATACATACCTTCACCCCTACCCCTACACCAACCCTAACCCTAACCCCTACCACTACCTTCACCCCCACTCTCTCATACCTACCCTTACCTATACCCCAAACCAACCCCTACCCTTACCTTCACTTCAACCCTTAACCCTACCCCATACCTACCCTAACCCCTACCCTTTCTCTTACCCCCACTTGGACCCTACCTCAACCCTTACCCCACCTTACCCGACCCATACCCCAATCCCTACCCCTACCTCTAACTGTACCACCACTTTTATTCCAAACCTACCCTCACCCCGACCCTTACCCTACCACAACCCATACCCTCACCCCTACCAAAACCTTAATCCTACTCTACCATTGCAGCATACCTAATCACACCCCTACCTCTACCTCTAGCTTGACCCCTACCCCTACCTCTACTCCCTACCCTTACCCAATACGATACTCTATCCCAACTCCGACCCCTACCCCAACCCTTAAACCCTACACCTACCCATACCCATACCCTCACCCCTACCCAATACCTACCCCTACCCCACCCCATCCTTACTCTAACCCTTCCTCATACGTACCTTACCCTTACCCCTTACACTACCCACACCTCTACCCCTACCCCTACCCCTACTCCTACCTCATAGCTACCCACAACCCTACCCATATCGTACCCTAACCTCTACTCCCACCCCTACCCCAACCCTACCCCATTACTACCCCATACTTTCCCTTACCCCACCCCTACCCTTACCTCAACCCCAACCTTTACCCCTACACTTACCGATTACCTTACCCTATCCCTACCCCTTATCAACACTTTATCGCACCTTACCTCAACCCTTATACCTACTTCTACCTTTACCCTCACCCCTACTCCTATGCCTACCCCTAACCTTACCCTCACCTTATCCTACCCATACCCCCACCCCTACTTGTAAACCTACCCTTACCCCTACTTTTACCCCCATCTTTACCCCTATTCTTACACCCATCTTTACCCTATACCTATCCCTACTCGTACCTTGACCCCATCCCTACTATAACCCTACCACATACCTAACCCCACCCCTACTCTTACCTCTAAACTTACTTCTATCCATGCCCTTACACCCACCCTTACTAATACCTACCCTTACCCTACCTCCATCCTTCACCTTACCCCCACCCATACCCTACCTCTACCCCTACACCTACCTCAACCTCTACCCTTACCTCGACCGCTACCTCATACCTATCTCTACCCATACCATTACCTCACCCCTACCCCTACCCTTACCCTAACCCTACCTCATACATACACCCACCGTAACACTTACCCCTAACCTTACCCTTACCCTAAGCTCTACCCCATACCTTACCTCACACCTACCCTGACCCCCACCAATAACTCTACCCCACTTTACCCAACCCCTACCCCTACCCCATACCTATCCCTACCCCTACCCCATACCTATCCATACCCCTACCCCTACCTCTACCCCCATTCCCTCCTTTACCCCTTCCCCTACCCTAACCCTACCCTACCCTTAACCCATACCTACCCCAACCCTACCCGTGCCCCTACCCTCACCCCTACCCTACCTTCACCCTTAACCCTACCCTTACCCCTACCCCACCACTACTCGACCCTTGCCCCTGCCCTTTCCCCTACCTCAATCCAATACATACACCCATGCCTACCCCTACCCCACCTCTAACCCTACCCATACCACTACCCTTACACTAACCTCCCCCCCACTATAGTATACCTACCCCCACCCCCACCCCCACCCCCATCCCAACCCCTACCTATACCCTTACCCCTATACCTTACCCCAAGCCTTCAGTCTTAAACCAAACACCATGTAGCCTTAGACTGAGAATAAAATCCATATGCCTAAGTCAACCTACAAAACAAGCATACGAAGATTAAACCAACTATAGAGGTAAAATACACAAGCCAAGAAAATAAGAGAATGTAATTACAAATTCAAATTTAAAATATAGATTACATCATATCACATCTTGATCCTAAGGATTGACTAGGTCTTCCATTATGTGCTATAGATCCTAGAGGCTTTTAAATGCTTATAGGTCAGCCACGCTTTCTTAGGCTCACCTGGGTATGGTGCAGGCATGTTACGGGCCTAGCCCTAGTGCTACAGATAGACTTGACTATTGGGTAGGCGATCTGGATACTTCTACCATGCTTATTGCACAATGCCCAACTCTATCCCTGGTGCTCGAGTTTAGATTGCTGGGGTGCAGTCTTCGACCCTTGGTGCACCTACCTAAGGTGTGCACTTCTAGAAACCCACAACAAAGCGTAAAACCAAGACTATGTTCAGGGCACCTGGGTCTAACCACGTGCCCATACCTCGATCATCAGTGCCTTTATCTAGGTTTAACTATGTGTTTGCAAACCTCTCACTAGTGCCCACACCTAGGCCTAGCTCAATTCTATCATACTTGAACACCATGTTTAAGCCTTTAGAGTCCTGATTACTACCCGCACCACTGTTCCAATCTAGTTCCCCATAACCTGCACCTCAAGTAGGCCTCAAGGCTTAGTTTCCCTGCCTGTTAAACTTTATCCTACAAGAACCCTTGGGCCTATCAAAGCTTGCAGACCATGACACATGCACATGCCTTGACCACCATTAAGACATCCTAACCCTTTGTTGGGCAGTTCCCTTAATCACCATTGGCATATGCTGGGTCAAGCACTAAGCATGGGTGTCCTAGGTGAAGGCCACACACCATACGTATCAGGACCAGGTAGTAGGTAGGTTCGAGCACATCTTCATATTTTTGCTATGCCATTACCATTTTTATGGCTTAAAAATTCATATGAGCACTCCTTAGTGCTTGCATCTGAGCCTGGCTTAATTTTGTCACACATGAACATCGTGCTTGCCTCTTGAGTCCTAATCACTACCCTTACCACTATTACGGGCTAGTTTCTTGAGACATTGGCCTCCAGTAGGGCTCAAGGCCTAATCCCCCTGGTTGTCAAACCCTTATCTCATTAGAACACCTGGGCTTGGACCTACTTGCTTACTGACTGTGACACATGCACATGCCTTAACCACTATCAGGACATGTTAGCCCTTAGTCTTGGCATATGGTTTGACTAGCATTAGCACATGCTGGCCCTTTATGTGGGTAGTTACCTTGAATACCATCAATACATGCTGGGTCATGCACTACACTTAGGTATCCTGAGCTCGAGCTAAGCACCATATGTACCATGATCAGATAGTAGGTGGGTTTAGGCACATCTTTATATTTCTACCATGCCAATGCCATTTTTATGGCTTGTAAATTCATATAATGGTCCCTTAAGCTTTCACATAAGGTTTCATGGCAACATGACTCATTTTTTATTTTTCATGATTTTTGAAAAATTTTTTAGTTTGAGATTTTTTTAAATTTTTTTAGAAGGAGTTTTGGCTCCAAAATTGGTATATGTGATCTTTGTATTTTTTTTAGCATTTACAAAAACTTTTAGCTAAAAACTCAAAGTGTAGAAGATTTTGTGGCCATTTTAAAAAAGTGTCCCCATTTGAAACACTTGAATGGCTACTAACTGCAAAATTGTAAAAACTTTTATGCTCTTTAAAGGGGTGTGAGTTGTCAAGGTTCCTTAGGGGATAGGTGGCCAATATAAAGGCCAAGCACCAGCACCCATCGCACATTATGTGTGCACACCCCTTGGTCCCCTACCAGCAATTATCAAACCCCACGATGCTGCCAATCAAGTTCTCTGGTAATGTTGTGATATGCTCCGATGATGGTGTCCTAGGAAAATAAATGTGACACCGACACATGATCGACCTCAGCATGTGCACGGTGGTCCAACATCGAACTTCAACCAAGGCCTCAACCATCAACGAAACATGTTAGCATATGGTGCAAGCACATGCCTCAATCATCATCGATATAAGCTGGCCAATGGTATTGGCACTTTTTTTGACCACTAGCAACACAAGCTAGCACCTAGTATGGGCACTTACCTCGATCGACATTGGTAAATGCATGCCCTAATCAACATTAACAGAAGATAACTCTTAGTGCTGGTGGTTGCCTCAAACACCATCAACAAATATTGGTCCTCGGTGCAGGCAATTACCTCAAACACCATCGGCATATGCTAGGCCTTCCTGCAAGCACATATCTTGACCATCATTAGCATAAGTTGACCCTTGGTGCAGGTGTCACCCCCTAAACAAGCACACCAGACGCACAAACCTCAAGCACCAATGATAGTTGTAGGGGTTGGAATGATATGCATGGGAGATAAGTTCAGACTACCCGCACAGCTAGGACCAGGCCTACAACATGCCTAAACCACACCTAGCTGGACCCAAAAGAGCTGGGTTGATCCAGAATCTTCTAGGAGCATCCAAGATCAATAGTATTCAGTAGAATGATCTATTTGACCCTAAAAATTATGATGAGCCTTCTATATTAATGTGTAATACCTAATTTTTAGGAATCTTATAAATCATTTTATTTTAGGAGCTAGCCATAGTTAAAGCTGGGCGCCTAAACTATAACTAAAGGGTTGCCCTACCCTCATTTGTACATCATCAAACACATTATTCTTTGGTGATACACTACATTTCTAGCATTCCTCGTGTTCTCTCTAACATGCATATTTTACCTTTCCAATTTGTTTTTAGGCTGACTTAGACCTAAGGAACACATCCCTAGTCTAAGGCCATAGAGATTCTGAGTCAAAGGTCAGAGCTCGTGATAATTGGTATCAGAGTAAGTTTTATGCAGGTTCTGTGCAATGGTGTTCAGATCGTACTCAAGGCATTCATGAAAATGGCATCCTAGAGTGATGTTGCTATCCAACAACCAGAGGCCTAGAAGCAAGGCTATGGAAAGGGTAAGAAAGCTAGTTTGAGAGACATATGGTCTACCCTAGAGAGGCATGTGGCTAAGGTGGAAGGGACCATGGGCAATGTGAAGGAGAAGCTTGACAAGGTAGATGCTTACTTTGAGGTGATAGATTACATGGAAGAAAAGCTTAAAAGGGAGTTGCAAGCTATTTTGAATGAGGGTATCAACATGATCACCCAACAGAATACAACCTTGGAGGCCTAGATAGAAACCATGCATGAGGAGATGAAAGAGCTCAAGAGCGAGCTTATTGCTTGCAAGATTACTAATGGGAATGGCATGTTCATTGGAATGTCTAAGACCCATGTAGAGATTCTCAAGCCTAAGGAGTTCAAAGGGACTAGGGTGGCTAAAGAAGTAAACAACTATCTATGAGGGATAGAGCAATACTTCTAGGCCATGGGTATGCAGGACGATGCTATTAAGGTAAGCACTGCTTCAATGTATCTTATTGATGCTGCCTTATTATGGTGAAGGTGCATGTATGATGATGTCAGGTGTGAAAGCACCATGTTTGAACCTATGATGAATTTTAAAAAGAGTTCAGAGAGTAATTTTACCTGAAATATACCAATGATGAGGCACGAACAAAGTTACATGACTTAATCAGTAGGGGGACATAAGGGAGTATGTCTAGAAGTTTTTTAAATTGATGCTTCA